GATCGCGTCCTGCAATACGCCTTATGTATCGTTGACCAATCAAGATTCATGCGCGTAGGCAAATTTTTCTCATGTTGGGTCTTTTCGCCATTGATACTAATACTTTTTTATTCTGTAGATCTTCGGGTAGCAGGTGAGAGGAAAACTTATTGGTGGTGGAAGAACTGTGTTCAATGCTTTTGAAACGTGTTTGGGCTCATTATTTGCATGTATTTACCAAATTTAAATGAACTTGGAGGGGTGAACGAGTAAGTTTTTTTATCAGTTATACCGTATCACCGCATTCACTTGAGAATGTTATGTAACAACTTTGGAAACGTTACGCAATAATTTTTTTTTTTTTTACATCGAAAAACATTATACAATGATGTTATATCCTTTTTTTTTTTTTTATATAAAATACGTTTCTTTTTTTTACAAAGAACATTACACAACGATGTTATACCTTTTTTATTAATTTAGATAAAACAAATGACAAAATGCGAACGTGACCAGCAGGAGTTTCCTTGATTGTTGGCAGAGCCTATAAGCTTTTAATCGACTACAATAACTACCAAACAGCTTTCTTGACTCTCGGAATATCTCCATTTAAAGCTTTCAACCTAAATTGATAACGACATAGCCTTGAATCTCGAAATACACCACGACCTCGACCTGTTTCCACGCAACGATTCTTGACGGCAGTTGGACGTGCATAGCGAGGAAAAGAATTAAGCATAAGTTGCGCTTGTTGTCGGATTTTTTGTGGAAATTGTTCGTTACGTGTAATGTAACGATAGGCTTGTCGAATCAATTCAGTAGCTGCAACAGTTTCTCGAGTTTTTATATCGCGCCGAACTCTTGCATTACGAAGGATACGGAAATTCATTTCGATCGTTTTATCGTTTTTAAAGAAAAACCCAATGCAATGCTGCAAAATTATAATCTTGTGCTCGGTTTATGGACACGTGATGATGATCAATGAACTTATCAAAAATTGATTACATATGTGTAAACAATCTTGTGAAGTTTCGTTTCGTTAATAGGCTTTTCCAGCTTTAAGTGAAGTTGTCTCGATAACCACCTAATCAATTCGATCTTTTTTTTTCCTTATTTAAATTCTACATATTGTAAAGTTAAAATAAAAAAATTTTGTCAGGTGGTTTTCGAGAAAATTTCAGTTTTAAAAAATTTAAAATAATAGGCGGGACAGTTTTTTTAAGCGAAGCTTCTCGACAACCACTTAACAAAATTCAATGAAAAATTTTTTATTCTAGTTCTGCAAATGTATAGAATTAAAATAAAAAAGAATTTCATTGAATTTGATGGGTAGTTATCGATAAATTTCAAAGCTTAGAAAAAATCGGTTTCGTAAAAAAAAATTTAAAAAAAAATTTTTTTAAATTTTGGGCAAAGTTTTCTCGACAATTACCTGACCAAATTCAGTAGAAAATTTTTTATTTCAATTCTACGAATATGTAGAATTGAAATAAAAAAACAAAATAAAAAATAAAAATTGAATTTGGTCAGGTGGTTATCAAGAAAACATCACTCGAAGCTTAGAAAAAATCCGTGCTATCAAAACTTTAGTAGGGATGTT